ATATATATATATATATATATATATATATATATATATATATTACATTGTAAGTTAATGAACACTAATAGATAGGAGATATCATTTTTGTGATTTGTGATATTAACACATGTAAAAATGCAAAAGCAGCATTAGAATTCATATACTGAATCCTCCCCCATACTGTGATCTGAGAGTAAAATCGTCAGCCAAGAAAAGAGAATTTGCTCATTCTCAAGAATCAGGGATATTAAGGATTTTGACTTAAAATTTATGACAGATATTTTAAAGGATAATATAAATCAATAAAATAATTGTGAAAAACAGGTATTACATAACGTATCTTAGCTAAGGTTGTTATTGCTGTGATGAAACCCACGACTAAGGTACCTTATAAAAAGGAAGCATTTAATTTGGGGCCTGTTGACAGCTTCAGATGTTTAGTCTATGAGCATCAAGGCAGAAAACATGATGAAATGCATGCAGTCATGGTTCTGGAGCCGTAGCAGAAGTCTTACCATCTGCTCTGTGGGAAGAAGGTAGAGAAAGAGTTAAATTTTGCCTGGCATGGGCTTTAGATGCCTTAAAACTAAACCCCAGTCGCACATCACCTCAAAAAATCATACATTCTCCAACAAGGTAAGTATATTACAACAAAGACATACCTCCTAATCCTTCCAAAACAGTTCAATACACAGTGGAACGAGCATTTAATCACATGAACATATGAGGACCATTCTCATTCAAATTGACACACACAAGAACACACTTCAAGGAAATTAGTAATCCAGCGTCCTTAAGAGATTGTAGTCTTAAAGTGATACCCATGAAACTACACTTCCTAAATTTTGCATCAGTAATACTGGGGCATCAAGAAATGCTCAGTTTTGCCCTTATTATTAGGTCGTTTAATGGAGATAAGTGGGAGAGGCAAAGTAAGATCCTCAGATGATAGGGATCCCATACTGCTTCTTAAAGGTCTGATGTACTGGGGTGTTAAACAGAGATCTCGCTCCAGGGAAAACATCAAATGACACAGTGGCATGTGGTGGTTCTGATGAAAAAGAACTTTGTTTGGACATGAGTTTTCTCTTTAATTTTTTTTTCTTTTCTCTTTACACTGAATGCAATTTCAAACAGAAATACATGATAGCTTGAGAATGGAATTTTACTACATGGCAAATGGATTTAAGAGTAAAGCAGCTGTTAGATGTTTAAATTACATGTGAATGTGGCCTTAACCAATTCAGTGACCTGGTATATGTCCATGAATCACATCTAATTAACAATATCAAGAAGGGCAGATAGGGAGTATCTAAACAATATGAATTATTTCTTTTCTGTCTAAGGCATTCTCAATTGCAATTTTCTCATTATTAGGCAAAAGCAGTTCCACTGTGTCAGTGTCTACTCAAGGAGAAGGCAGCACACCCAGGGAACAAGGCACTGCAGCTACAAGCCCAGGAACCTCAGGTAATTCCAAACACGCACCTCAGTGTCTTCAATATGTCCACCCAGGAAAACATGATTGCTGTGGTGAACAAGAAGGAAAGACAAGGAATTGAATATTTGATTTCATTTCCCAGAATACCTTTCAAAGTAGCAATACTTTAGAGTCAGTGATCTTGTTTGCCAGGTTCAACAGGGGCATCTATGGGAACCAGCTCACCTACAAGACCAGGCACTGGGACCTTCAGCCCTGTTACAACATCAGGTCAGACCTGGCCTCTTTAGGGGTTGTGGAGGGCATAGAACAGAGTCTGGCCTTGGACAGAGAGAGAACCAAAACCACTACAGAACCTAAGCATGTGTATGGAATGATAAGATTTGTTTAAATATTAGTGTAGCTATATATGCATATTAATTTCCATTCTCCTTCCCATAGGAACAAGAGCAGGAACAGATGCAGCCACCACTGCAGCTCCTGGAACGAGCACATCTGGAGGAACAGGTACTGTGAGAGCTCAGCAGAGGGACTCCCAGCAGTAGACTTGTCATCTTAAGTAGTGCTTGAGATTTCATCACAGACAGTTCCCTGGGAAATATGACCATTGTTCACGTGGTGTCAAGTATCCAAGAGAACAACAATGCACACAAAATCACTGTTGTTCATCTTAAAAGCAGGTCAGATTTCAATGTGGCAAAGGAAGGAACATATATATACATGTACTCTCACTCAACTATTACCTGGAAAGAGAAAAACTAGACTAAGTACAGACATACAATACAGGAATAATTAGTCCAAGCTTCCCATGTGAAGACTGTTGTAGAAGGATAAGCTAAGGCATTTATAGTTGAACTTTGAATTGTGTGTGTAGAAGTATTTCATTTCTGATACATACATTGTCAGTTTAGTAGAATACCAGGGCTACCTGCCATGTTTCATTTATCTTGAAAAGTAGCTCTCAATGCTAGTGATTGTGGGAGTAATGATTGCTATGTTTCCATGTAGCCTATGAGACATTTGTGGCCATTTTAGGTGTAAAAGCAAGCTTTTTTCAAAGTGCATCACAAGCTGTTTTCTCAAGCTAATGTTTTCCCATGGCAGGCACACCCAAAGTGTCTTCTGCAACAACCCCTGAAGCAGCTGTCAGCAGCAGCCCTGTGACAGGAATCACTGGAGCCCCAGGTTCTGGTGAGTCCACAGAGGTGCCTGGTGACTAAGAAACTCCTATACATGAAATGTTCTAGTAAGGACTGAGTTGTTAAATGAGGTCCTATCTGGGAAAGAATGAGGATTAAAGGAAATAACCCCAGGTTCTGGTGAGTCCACAGAGGTGCCTGGTGACTAAGAGACTCCTATACATGAAATTTTCTATAAGGACTAAGTTGTTAAATGAGGTCCTATCTGGGAAAGAATGAGGATTAAAGGAAATAATGTGGATATGCCTTTTCCCATAAACTTCCAACTACTCAGAGTTAACAGTGATGACAACACACAGGTTGGACAATGCCTGATTTTTTGTTTGTTTTTAGATTCTTGTATTCACAACCAAACTATCCACCTCTGCCAGCACAGAACCTAGTAAGCAAATAGGAGAATTCACTGAGTCTTTAGGTGTCAAATTCTGCTCGTTGTTGTCCTTATTCCTTGGGACTCTATCATGCTGAAGAGTAGAAAGGAAAAGAAGATACTGGGGTGAAGAAACCCAACTGCTGATCAACAGCTGGTCTGTAACTGGGGAAGGGATGGATTAGTTGTTCTGTAATCAGAGAAAATCAAAGAATTCTTGGCTTGCCTAATTCCCTCTTTCAGGTAAACAATGTTCAAAACTCTATTTTTTTTTTTTTTGTAACACCGGGATCAAACATAGATGGTTCCTCCCTCAATGTCATTGTTTTGTTATATTTTAGACTTTTAAAAGTTGCTCTCATGTGTTTTGTGTTGCTATTGTAAGATCTAACTGTTGACCTGTTTGTTAAAGTTCTTATGGTCATTTCAAAAAGTAGATAATTTTTAATGTACCATATGATAGAGAAATGGAACATTAGCAAATGTCATCAGAGCAGGTACCAATGAAGACGGAAGTGACACAGCCTTGCACTTAGGAAAAAGCAAAAAATGTGTGAAATGCCCCTTTCCATAGATGCTTGCAAAGACTGTTTCCTGCTTCATTTCAGCAAGTCTACTACACACAGTAAAGACTCAGTGGGCAAAGGCCTAGTGTCAGGGACACCAATATAATGTATGAAAATTCCAGAAAAATAAACGCATGACACATGTCTTTAATCCCAGGAAATACAACACAAACAGAAAGAATTGTGGAAGCTGTGTCAATATATTGTAGGCATGAGGATAGACATGATCACTCGGTGTTTAATTTGGTATATCAAAACGATTGCTATTTCTTAAAGGGAAAACATTAATAGAGTAAATTCATGACAAGAATATTACATTTTACCAAAATCTGGAGTCTTGCACTCCAGTTATGTTTGTGTTTAGACGTATTATTTTTAAGGAAAAAGGCAAACAGGCTTAATAGTCTTTTCAGGATAATTTATAACCTCAAAGAATCTCAGACTAACATTTGTCCCCTTGATCAACATAAGGCTCATCTGGGGCATCAGCTGGATCAAGCGCTGTTACAGTGGGTGCCAGCACTCCTGGAGAAGGAAGCACTAAGGCCACAGCTTCAGGTGGGACACAGTGGCCTGTGGTGATGGTTCAGTAACTCCTGCTTGTGCCCTGATGAAGGAAGAGCTCCCTGTTTCTATTAGGGTTTAGCTGAATGATACTGTAGTGCTGAGAAGTGCTGGGGGATCATAACTTTCCATTTTCATTTCCTGAACTTCTGAAATATTCCCAGAAAAACTAAAACAAAAAAGAAAAAAACAGGTGCTCAACTTCCAATTTGTACTTGGTTCTAGGGACCATAAACACCTCTGGAGGCTCCACCACTGGAGGCCATAAACACCTCTGGAAGCTCCACCACTGTGAGATCTGTAACATTGACTAGACCAGTCACCACCTCTGCTAGGAGCAGTGCAGGTAAAGGAAAGAGGTGTCTGACTTTCGTGTACATGTCGCCCATTTTCTATATGTGGTTATTCATTCACAATAGAAAGTAATGGTAGGAAATTGATGACATTTAGACTACTGCATGAAAAGCAGTAATAACAGGATATATAGTAACAGTAATAATAGGTGATATTACTATAGTTAGCCTGAGTATACATATGGCCACAGTGTTTTGAGAAATCATTACACTTGTAAAGCTTTTGCTATTGAAATGGGAATATGATTTCTAATGGGGCTTAGATAGGAAAAACACTAGTGATAATAGTCTTGTAATGCAAATGTAGGTACCTTCAAACTCATTAAGTTTGTATCTGTGTTATAAAGAGTTTTAAAGGGGTCAATTGATTCCATTGTGTAATCTCACTTAAGGAACACTGAGCTCAGCAATGGGATATAAATACATAAATAAATAGCAAGCTAAAATGCATCCACTATATGATGGAACCCACACATTTATTATAACAACTCTGTATATTTTATGATTCAATTTTGGAAATGCTACATTGGAAATGAAGAAGTGAAAATGAATACATGAAGGAGATGTGAAATCAGAGTGTAGCATGGCATGATATGGTTTATCAGAGATCCTAATATCCATTTCCTGTTTACTCTGAAAGGGACCACTGCACCATCAGCTGGTGAAACAACTAGAGCCTCTAGCAGTCAATCAACCCAGCCTGGAGAACAATCAGGTGAGCTGGTGGTATTCAGAAGTGTGGAGTCATCACCCTGTTTCTCACTTAAAGCACAGTAACTGCATAAATGTATGGACATCTGGTTGGCCCAGTCCCAGATCCTTAACTGTATCTGTGTAATACTAGTGCCAGGAAAGAACACTAACATTTTTGAGAATATCACAGTAGAATAAAATTTAGGGGACTGCAGAATGCCGCTTACTGCATTCACCTATTATATTTTCTGTAGGAGGAATAAAATGAAAAGTAGGGTCCCACCATTGGTAATCATGTTCATTCAAACTTTTAATGAGAACTTCCTTTGATGTTTTCTCAGGCTCTTCTGGAACACTAGCTTCTTTCACCTCCTCAGTGGTAACTGGAGGCACCACAGCATCCCTGCACTCTAGCCTCACCAGTTCTGGGACCACAGAAGGTAAACTAGTTGTGAATGAGAATCCTGACCCAACCCTGTTATACCTGAATGATGAACTGACATTTTTTTTCTGGTATGCAATGCCAGGCTTAGTTGTTCCTTGTATTAATTGAATTGTATTATCGTGAATCTTCCACAGATACACTAATGTATCATGTTATCACTTTTTTGTTTTACCTTCCTTGAGTGTTACAAATACTCATGTAGATAGTGTAGCTACTTATGTTTCTGCACCTTAGTAGGGACACAAGTCTAGAATCTTCAGATGTAGTGGCAGCAATAGCCAATAGGAAAGAAAATAAAAATGATACAACATTTACAGATAGTATGCAAACCAATTAAACAGGAATGTGATGAAAAATATGTTAATTAAATAATGATGTACCTACCTGACCTTTAGGGGTTCCCTATTAACCTTACAGTAGAACCTTGTAAGTAACTGAACACTAATAGATAGGTGATGTCTTTTATGTGTTTTTGAAATATTAGTACTTATAAAAATGCAAAAGCAGAATTGGATATCATATTCTGAATCCTATCCCATTTTGTGATCTGTGGCTAAAAGCTTAAGCCAAGAAAAGAGTATATGCTCATTCTCAAGAATCTGGACTATCCAGAATTTTGATTTAAAATATATGACTGAGACACTTTGTAGAATAATACAAATTAATTTAATAATTTTTGAAAAGTAGAATGTACACAGGTGTTAGTTAGGGTAACTATAGCTCTGATGAAATAGCATGACCAAGGCAACTTATAAAGTGAACATTTCATTTGTAGCCTGCTTACAGCTGTTTAGTCTATGATCATCATAGCAGAAAACAAGGTGGGAGACATGCAGTCATGGTTCTGGAGCAGTAGCTGAAGGTTTACTGCCTGCTCTGTAGGTAGATGGTACAGAAAGAATTAAATACTGATTGGCATGGGTTTTAGATACCTCAGAGCTCAACTCCAGTCACACATCTCCCCAATGGATCATACTTCTCCAAACAAGGCAAACATCATCCAACAAAGCCATATCTCATAATACTTTCAAAACAGTTCAATAAACAGTGGAACAAGCATTTAAATACATGAGCATATTAGGATCATTCTCATTCAAATTGTCACACATAGGACACAGTTCAAGAAAATGATAATACAGCATCCTTTAAGAGATTGTAATTTTTAAAGTGATAGCCAAGAAACTACATTGTCTTAATTCTGAGTCAGAGATACTGGGGCCTCAAGAAGAAATCAGTCCATGATGCCCTCGCATCATCAGGTATTGTCAGTGGAGATGAGTGAGAGAGGCAGAGTTAAGTCCTCATCTTATAGCAGTCCCTCACTGCTTCTTACAGGTGTGATGTGCTAAGATGTAAAACAGAGCTCACACTCCAGGAAAACATCAGATGACATGATGGAGTGTGGTTGTTCTGTTGAAAAAAAAAGACTGTTTGGACTTGAATCTTCCTCAAGTCTTTCTCATTTCTCTTTACCTTGACCACCATTGCAAAGCATAAATATATAACAGTTTGAAAATGGTGTGTTAGTAATTGGCCTACATGTTTAAGGAGACAAGCTGGAGGTACATGATTAGGTTTGACATGTGAATGTGGCCTTAACCAGTTCAGTGACCTGGTGAAGTATGTCCCTAAATCACACGCAATAAACAGAACCAAGAAGGCTGGATAGGGAGGATCTAAACAATATGAATTGTTTTATTTGTGTGTAGGGCATTTTCAGTCACAATTTTCTCATTATTAGGCAAAGGAAGTCCCACTGTGTCAGTGTCTACTCAAGGAGAAGGCAGCACACCCAGGGGACAAGACACTGCAGCTGTAAGCCCAGGAACCTCAGGTAATTCCAAATATAATCTCACTGCCTTCAATATGTCCACCCAGGAAAACATGACTGCTGTGGTGAACATGGAGGAAAGACAGGGAATTGAATGTTTGATTACATTTCCCAGAATCCCTTTCAAAGCAGCAATCCATTAGAATCACTGCTCTTGATTGCCAGGTTCAACGGGGGCATCTGCGGGAACCAGCTCAGGAGCAGGCAAGAGAAGCTCACCTGAAACACCAGGCTCTGGGACCACAAGCTCTGTTATATCAACAGGTTAGACAGCGCATCTTCAGGGTCTAAGAATGGGTCGGTACATAGTTTCACAAAGATTGCCACAAACAGTATAGATGTTGGTGGCATTTGTAATATTATTAAATGTATTCAAG